GAGAGGGATGTGTCCCGGTGTCTGTGTATTAGGAGGAGGTGTGAGGGATGTGGAGCTGCTTCTCGTTCTCCCAGAACATTGATTTTTGTGACTACAGTTACAAACAGCCTCCAGAGATCCTGTTATACACCAGACCAGTGGAGCCAGACTGCAGCTAGAGCCCATCATCATCCTCATCTGCTTGTAAGTAGGTAATCTAGTATATTATTCGTGGCACTAATCTCTAATTTACCTCACATTAAAGAAACACTATAGTCCCCAGAACCACTGCACCTAATGTAGTGGTCCTGGTGTCTATAGCCTGTCCCTGCAGGCCTTTTAATGTAAACACAGCGGCACTGCAGCACTAGCGTTAGTTAACATGGCAGGTCATATGGGTGGGGCATTGTGATGTCACGGGGGGGGGGGGGGGGGAAACTTTACTTTGCCTAGGGCTGCAAAAATCTTGCACTGCCCTGATTAGGGAGGAGGTGAGAGGATGCGTCCCGTGTCTGTGTATTAGGAGGAGGTGAGAGGGATGTGGCCCTGCAGTCTGTGTATTAGGAGGAGGTGAGGGATGTGTCCTGCCTGTGTATTAGGAGGAGGTGAGAGGGATGTGTCCTGTCTGTGTGTATTAGAGGAGGTGAGAGGGATGTCTGCACTGTGTATAGGGAGGAGGTGAGGAGGGATGTGTCCCGTGTCTGTGTGTATTAGGGAGGAGGTGAGAGGGATGTGTCCCGGTGTCTGTGTATTAGGAGGTGAGAGGGATGTGTCCCGGTGTCTGTGTATTAGGAGGAGGTGAGAGGGATGTGTCCCGATGTCTGTGTATTAGGAGGAGGTAAGAGGGATGTATCCCGGTGGCTGTGTATTAGGAGGAGGTGAGAGGGATGTGTCCCGGTGTCTGTGTATTAGGAGGAGGTGAGAGGGATGTGTCCCGGTGTCTGTGTATTAGGAGGAGGTGAGAGGGATGTGTTCCGGTATCTGTGTATTAGGAGGAGGTGAGAGGGATGTGTCCCGTTGTCTGTGTATTAGGAGGTGAGAGCGATGTGTCCCGGTGTCTGTGTATTAGGAGGAGGTGAGAGGGATGTGTCCTGGTGTCTGTGTATTAGGAGGAGGTGAGAGGGATGTGTCCTGGTGTCTGTGTATTAGGAGGAGGTGAGAGGGATGTGTCCCGGTGTCTGTGTATTAGGAGGAGGTGAGAGGGATGTGTCCCAGTGTCTGTGTATTAGGAGGAGGGGAGAGGGATGTGCCCCGGTGTCTGTGTATTAGGAGGAGGTGAGAGGGATGTGTCCCGGTGTCTGTGTATTAGGAGGTGAGAGGGATGCGTCCCGGTGTCTGTGTATTAGGGGGTGAGAGGGATGTGTCCCGGTGTCTGTGTATTAGGAGGAGGTGAGAGGGATGTGTCCCGGTGTCTGTGTATTAGGAGGAGGTGAGAGGGATGTGTCCCAGTGTCTGTGTATTAGGAGGAGGTGAGAGGGATGTGTCCCGGTGTCTGTGTATTAGAAGGAGGTGAGAGGGATTTGTCCCGGTGACTGTGTATTAGTAGGAGGTGAGAGGGATGTGTCTCGGTGTCTGTGTATTAGAAGGAGGTGAGAGGGATGTGTCCCGGTGTCTGTGTTTTAGGAGGAGGTGAGAGGGATGTGTCCCGGTGTCTGTGTATTAGGAGGAGGTGAGAGGGATGTATCCCGGTGTCTGTGTATTAGGCAGAGGTGAAAGGGATGTATCTTGGTGTCTGTGTATTAGGAGGAGGTGAGTGGGATGTGTCCCGGTGTCTGTGTATTAGGAGGTGAGAGGAATGTATCCAGGTGTCTGTGTATTAGGAGGAGGTGAGAGGAATGTATCCCGGTGTCTGTGTATTAGGAGGAGGTGAGTGGGATGTGTCCCAGTGTCTGTGTAGTAAGAGGAGGTGAGAGGGATGTATCCCGGTGTCTGTGTATTAGGAGGAGGTGAGAGGGATGTGTCCCGGTGTCTGTGTATTAGGAGGAGGTGAGAGGAATGTATCCCGGTGTTTGTGTATTAGGAGGTGAGAGGGATGTGTCCCGGTGTCTGTGTAGTAGGAGGAGGTGAGAGGGATGTATCCCGGTGTCTGTGTATTAGGAGGAGGTGAGAGGGATGTGTCCCGGTGTCTGTGTATTAGGAGGAGGTGAGAGGAATGTATCCTGGTGTCTGTGTATTAGGGGTGAGAGGGATGTGTCGGTGTGTCTGTGTGTGGAGGAGGTGAGAGAAGGATGTGTCCAATTCTGTGTATTAGGAGGTGAGAGGGATGTGTCCCGGTGTCTGTGTATTAGGAGGTGAGAGGGATGTGTCCCGGTGTCTGTGTATTAGGAGGAGGTGAGAGGGATGTGTCCTGGTGTCTGTGTATTAGGAGGAGGTGAGAGGGATGTGTCCTGGTGTCTGTGTATTAGGAGGAGGTGAGAGGGATGTGTCCCGGTGTCTGTGTATTAGGAGGAGGTGTGAGGGATGTGTCCCGGTGTCTGTGTATTAGGAGGAGGGCGGAAGGTGTTGTCCTGGTGTCTGTGTATTAGGGGGTGAGAGGGATGTATCCCGGTGTCTGTGTATTAGGAGGAGGTGAGAGGGATGTGTCTTTGTATTAGGGGGAGGTGAGTGGGATGTGTCCCGGTGTCTGTGTATTGGATGGTGAGAGGGATGTGTCCCGGTGTCTGTGTATTAGGAGGAGGTGAGAGGGATGTGTCCCGGTGTCTGTGTATTAGGAGGAGGTGAGAGGGATGTGTCCCGGTGTCTGTGTATTAGGAGGAGGGCGGAAGGGGTTCTCCTGGTGCGAAGTGACAGGTCTATGTCCTCTATTAGAATGCAGAGAGAGAGACGATTTTAATAATTAAATCCCTGTATTTTGTGTGGGTGCATGGAATATATTTTGATTCTGATTTAATAAATGAAGAGGTTTATTAAATTAATCCCATTATTGGTTGTAGACACACAATCTGTACTGATCTTTTCTCTGTCCACATGAAGAGACACTTGGAGAATTGAATTAATTAATCACTCAGTATGCAGAACTAATCTTTTCCTTGTATTCTCTCCTCAAAACAGGACTAGGCTTCTACCATTCCTGCTTTGTGCAGTACAACTCCCATCAGCAACAACCACCCAATGGCTGCAAAAGCATAACTGGGATAGTAGTACTAAAGATGACTTTGTCAAAATTCAATACCCCTGGTCCCCTGGCTGTTAGTGACAGAGTTGTAATCCGTAGTGGACGGAGTGCTAGAGGTTGCCTTTTCCAACCGTGAGTTCAGAAAATTTTAACATTTTTGCACCACTTACTAATTCTTTGCCAATGTCTCCATAGCAACTGGAAAAAAGGGAGGTACGTTCTGTTACACACAGTACACAGATTTTTTTGGAAGGGGCTGGGTCGTCCAAGAAGAACGATGAACTTATAAAATGTTGGCACATAACAGGGTAATCATGCCTTGTGAAAGAATTGGGTAGTAACTGAGGTCATAATACCAAATGGTAACGACACGGGATTCTAAACATTACTTACTATAGATCTATTGATCACTTTTAGATATCAATAATCATTTATCTCACAAGCTTTGCCAGACTGACTTTTTTCAGCACATTTATTAACTCCTGCAGGGGTATTAAAGGAACACTCAAACTTTCAAAATAAATATATTGTTTTTGAAATCCCATGTGTTCCCTTATCTATTTTGATTACTGTCTCTCCTGAAAACATAAGAAAGGCAATTGAACTTAACCATAATCCAGCCCCTGACAGTCTTCTCTACAGCCTGATCCATCTACTGTGAGATTATCAATCATGATGATCTCTGTAAGTATCAGGTACTTTTCAGAATAAATTATTGAGGACACTTGAAGCATGCGCGGCAATCACTGCGATGTGAGAATAAAATGGCTCTCTATGTGAAATACTAGCTGCATTCAGCATTGTTATGCTGTGAGTGTTGATACTGAAAGTACGCCTCCCAATCCTCCTGATTTTGGTCGGACAGTTCCTATTTTAGGGTCCTGTCCCAACTTGGGCCTCAATTTAATATTTTTGGATTACCTTTTCAAATAATTGAATAACTTTGGATAAACTTTTAAAATGATGAAATTTTTTGAAAAATGTTTCAATATTTAATTTTTTTTATATAGTAATATATTTTATTATATATGATATATTTTGGGTGATTTTATTATTTTGAAAAACTCTTTTTAAAAATGTATCCAAAAATATGAAATTGTTTGAAAAGCTTATCCAAAAGTGTTAAATTGAAGCCTTAGTTCCCTGGTGACCCGCATCTGAAACCATACCCAGACAGCACAACGCGAGTGCGTCATTAAAAAGGCTTGGCACTGGGACCATACAGGGAGCACTGCACACCTCTCGAGTGGTGGCTGGCTTGGAGGTCTGTCAGTCTGGCATGTTTGACGTCACGCTGACATGCCACTTCAGTAAAACAGTATAAACACGATCTGGTCTCATACCTCACAATGTTGGAAGGTATGTGAAAGTTAAGAAATTGAAGGATCTGAAGGAGTAAGCAGATCTTGTGGCTGTGTGCTTCTCAGAAATGGCATTGTTTTACGTTGTCAGACAAAAGGGTCAGGAGCTATGCACCAAAACTACTGTATTAGTTGACCAGTTTCCTAGCCCCTAAGCCATTGGCAACCCCCTGGCCCAGATGGACTGCACTTTCAAATCTTTTCTGACAAAGTACTGAATTCACGGTTGGCTTGCACAAACATGGTGTTCAGACAAGGTTTAATCTTAAACTCTTCTTTAAATGTACCTGCTTTAACGTTTTGGGGGTCTTGTCACAAGTGAATAGTAGAAAGCAGAAAAAAATCTGAAACTGGGCAGAACGCTATATTTGTTTTCCAAGTTTGCTATTTTAGTCTATACTTG